ATTTAAATCTTACATATATTTGTAAAGGATCAAATCGTATCCTCTCTTCGAATGTATTGACCAAGTCCTCAGGACTTCAGGGCTGGTTAGAGTGTGAGAATCAGTGTGCTGGGTGGGCCCCTTGTTTGTGATGAGAGAAGCCAACATGTGTACATTCCCAGGATCCATGCCCTTATTGATTCTGGCAGCTTGTGTGAGTAGGGATCAGGCTCTCAAAACCCACATTAAGGCCAGGGAAGGGGAAAAATCGGACTCCCTTGTTCTTGCCTTTTTAACATGGTGTATATATAGTATGGTGCCCTGGAATCAGTGCCAGCCTGGAATTTTGGCGATTTGAACTCAATTTCCAGTCTTCCTATTGACAATGGCATGGCTTAATTTTATTCCTGGCTTTTGGCTTTTGGTGTTTTTCTCCCTTCTCCTCTTCTCCTTCCTGCTGTTCCTAATGTAAAAGAGAAAATAAAGTGTATGCCTTCCACCTTCCATTGCCCCTCTGAAGGATGAGATGCCTCTCTGGGAATACTTGGCAGTGGGCTGTTCATGCAATGAAAAGCATTTTTTGGCCTGGAATACAATAATGCATATAGGAGATCTTGCGTACTCACAGAGGTATCATAGCCTAGTAAGAGCAACAGACTGAAAAGAAACATTACAGATGAGACAGGTGCTGTGTTTGGGCTGTACTCAGAGGGTCGCTGGGACACAGGATGTCCTCCAAGGCTTTCCTGCTTGGCGGTGGTGGATCCAGCTCCTTTTGGTTTTCTTATGCAGATGAGCAAGTCTCTTGGTCAGGATCAAAGCAGTGCTGCAGACACAGCTGGTGATAACTGTTACTTTCCCCGCATATGCCTCCTCTTTCCTGGGTACCTCACGTTTCAAATTTGGCATAATGTTCAGAATCCTCCAGCTCACCTAAAAGAAATAAGGAGCAATCCTAACAAAGAGATGGTGTTTCCCTGTCCTTACTGAGGCCCCAAACTGCTAGGCCACTATAAATGAAAGGATGCTAGAGGGGGCTTCAGGGGGCATAGAGGTGGGAAATGTGAATTCAGCAATCAAACCGGATTTTGTGTCACACATTCATCCTTTCCAACCTTCGCTGTTTTGCTGATAGTTACGCTTTTTCTGGAACTCATCTGTGGTTCTCTGCAGATAACGGTACCTGGACACAGCTGTGGCTTGTCTCTGACTATCATGAGCATGGGTCCCTGTTTGATTATCTGAACCGGTACACAGTGACAATCGAGGGGATGATTAAGCTGGCCTTGTCTGCTGCCAGTGGGCTGGCACATCTGCACATGGAGATCGTGGGCACCCAAGGTGAGTGGACTAGCCCAGGAGCAGCAAAGTGGCCTAGGCTTGAAAAGTTTGCACCGTCCTGATTTAGTTCCCGGAATTCCTTTTTACTGAGAAAGCTGGGCTGGACCTCAGGAACTCTAATTTAAAGGAAAGGAGGTTAGAGCTTTACTTGAGTGAGGTATCTACAGGCTGTTCTCTCCACCTCTGGCTTTAGAACTCCCTCAGGAACCCTATATCAATATTCAGTTACTTGTCAATCAATGGCTTGATATAGTCATTTGTTATGAAGGGAGTAATCAAGTAATCATTTCAGAAGCCCACAACAGACGTGAGAAAAATGGAACTAAAACGATAAACTAGTGTACTGGGAACATCAGTTGAGTGATTTCCATGTTCATTGTTGGGGACAGCTGGTTTAAAGGCCACTTGGTGGCTTAGATGCTGGGCTTTATTAATCTGGGAAGGTTTTCCTGGAGGAAGAAGACCTGAAGCTCTACTGTTTGTTGGCTATCATGTCGACTCTTTGGAAGATCCCTGTTCTTGTCACAGTGGCAGGTGTTGTCCTTGATGCCTGGTTGACCAGGGCCACAGCTTTTGCTGGCCACAATAGAAAACCAGCCATGAAAGTTGGGTCCTATTCCTGGTCTGTGCAGTGCCAGTTCTCATCATTGGGCCTGTGTCCTTCTGAGAGCTGGCCATCACAGCAACTTCTCTTTCATTCCTCAGCAGTTGTATACCTGAGCATATTTGCTCAAGGAAGGCGAGTAGTGGTAGTAAATATTAGTTCAGATATTAGCTAAATATGCCTGTCCTTCTATGGTCTTAGCTACATGAATGCATTTAATCCTCACAACAGTCCCATGAAGTATGTACTGTCATTCTGATTGGATGAGAAGACAGGTACAGAAGGGTAAAGTCCCTTTTTCTGGGTCACTGAGACTGTATAGTCTGGCCGCAGGGTCTGTACTTTTAACATTTATATTAAAGATCCCTGTTTTTTTCTCTGCCAGGGAAGCCTGGAATTGCTCATCGAGACTTAAAGTCAAAGAACATTCTGGTGAAGAAAAATGGCATGTGTGCCATAGCAGACCTGGGCCTGGCCGTCCGTCACGATGCAGTCACGGACACCATCGACATTGCCCCGAATCAGAGGGTGGGGACCAAACGGTAGGAGGGCGTGGCCTCTGCCCTTGCTAAGCAGCTTCTACTGAGTATCCCATGTATGCCATCTCCCATATGCGCAGGAGAAAATGTTGAAAAAGGAGGCGAGGACCTTGCTCTCAGCCTACTGAAAATTGAATGTGTACTCCCCACATTGGAATGCTGTGTTGCTGCATCTAACAGATACAAGTGCTGAGAGCACAGCTCCATAAACTGTATGCACATAGGTATTGGTGAGGTAGAGAAGGACAATCTGGAGCAAGATTTAGAAGAATAGCAGGCAACAGGTATGGCTCGGGGAAGAGGGAAAACGTTGCCATCTCCTGTGCAGAGAGCCGTAAAGGAGGCAGGAATCATGTTGTGCTTAGCGACTGGAAAGCAGATTTGCCAAACTATAGCAGAAGTAACCTAGGATGGAGATTAGGGGCACCCTTCAAGATGATGGGTCTGCTTCCCCTTCATGCAGAAGTGAGGTAAGAAGTAAGGAGCTGTGATGGCAAATTGACTTCATGAGTTGGAAATGGGACTGCCTTTTAATAGCAGAAGAGGTGGAGATCTGTTTGGTAAATGTAAATGAATTTCATTAGGATGATCCCCTGGTTTATTGTGGGGGCTGGGCTGGCTGGATTTGTAGTAATTATTCATAATTACTACTCAGAGTCACTAAGGGTGCCACTGACCATCTCTAGAACTAGTTTTGACATATCTATAGTCAGGTAAGATAACAAAAGAAGTTCAGAATGAAACTTACCGCTCAACCCATCACTGTGACTGCATTCAATTAAGTGAAAGACCCTGGTAACAACCAAATATTATGTACTGTTACTGCCCCTGTGACCCACATGACAAATATTTCTGCCAAGATATCAAAACATGCTTCAAATAAACAGGGAGTTTCACTCTTGTTGCCAGGCTGGAGTGCAATGGCACAATCTCGGCTCACTGCAGCCTCCACCTCCTGGGTTCAAGTGATTCTCCTGCCTCAGCCTGAGTAGCTGGGATTGCAGGTACCCTCCACCACACCTGGCTAATTTTTTGTGTTTTTAGTAGAGACGGGGTTTTACCATGTTGGCCAGGCTGGTCTTGAACTCCTGACCTCAGGTGATTCACCCACCTTGGCCTCCCAAAATGCTGGGATTATAGGCGTGAGCCACTGCATCTGGCCAAATAAACAAATCTTGATGGTTAAAAATAAAGATACACATCAGAGTAGCCTTGTATTGCCAAATCTATGCTGAAGTGTTTAGAATCAAATCTAAAACATGGGAGTTTGCAGTGAAGAGATGTGTGCACTTCTTCTGCCCCAAGGGACTTTATTAGGGTGATACTTTTCCACATTCAGAGGGCCCCTGAATCAATACTTTGATTTAAAGAGAGCAGTCGTCATTTTGTGACCATGTTTGTTTTGCTGTTGCAGATACATGGCCCCTGAAGTACTTGATGAAACCATTAATATGAAACACTTTGACTCCTTTAAATGTGCTGATATTTATGCCCTTGGGCTTGTATATTGGGAGATTGCTCGAAGATGCAATTCTGGAGGTACCTTTCTTTTTTGCCTTCTTTTGCTCCTACCTCCCATTCCAGGATGCTGGATCACCCAAAGTTGTTTTACTGCCCTCTTTCTTTTTACAACCCGTTAGATGCCTGTTGCCAGAGCCTGAATCATGGTTTAAGGTTCCCTTCAAAGGTGTATGGAACCTTGGAGGCAGCTGTGCTTAGGATGTGTTTATTCTTTGGAAATCAGCTTGTTGAATAGTGATGTGTGTTACAGTAACCATTCTGAAGGCTCATTTGGCTTTTAAAAACAAACATTGGCTTATTAGTCCATGGCGGTGGGGAGTGCCCAGGGTGAGGTAGGGAATGCCCGGGACATCAGAAGCAGTATATTTGAATGCAGCAGCTCCCAAGCCACATTCATGGGAAACCCTGCTGTTTCACTGTTAAAATAATAGTGCTAATTTCTAAATTTATAAAAGTGCATAGAATTTTCTTAAAATGAGTTTTTTCTTTCATAGTTAAAAATCGTTGGCATTTGTAACTTCTTATTCATGACAGAATCTAGTAAGCAATAGTATCAGCTTTAGCAGAAACCCCTCCATTTTTTTTTTTTTTTTTTTTTTGAGATGGAGTTTCGTTCTTGTTACCCAGGCTGGAGTGCAATGGCGCGATCTTGGCTCACTGCAACCTCCGCCTCCTGGGTTCAGGCAATTCTCCTGCCTCAGCCCTCCTAAGTAGTTGGGATTACAGGCAGGCGCCACCATGCCCAGCTAATTTTTTGTATTTTTAGTAGAGACGGGGTTTCACCATGTTGACCAGGTTGGTCTCGATCTCTCGACCTCGTGATCCACCCGCCTCGGCCTCCCAAAGTGCAGAAACACTTTTTATTGTCAACTTGGTATATAGTACTTTATGATAACTTCCACATATTCTGCCACATGATCAAGTTCCAGAATCTTTAGAGTGCTGCCTTCAGACATTGATCTGTGATGTAAGATATTCCAGGGCAGTGAAAGTGGTTGAATTAAAAAGACCTGGTAGAGCTTGCCTCGGCAGCACATGTACTAAAATTGGAGCGATACAGAGAAGGTTAGCATGGCTTTCCGTGCAAGGAAGACACGCAAATTCCTGAAGTGTTCCATATTTTTTAAAGGCCTAGTATTCGATAGCACCACAGGGTGACTATTGTCAATAATAATTTAATTGTACATTTACAAATAACTAAAATAATATAATTGGATTATTTGTAACACAAAGTGTAAATGCTTGAAGGGATTGATGTCCCATTTTCCATGACGTGATTATTATGCATTGCATGCCTGTGTCAAAACATCTCATGTTGCACCCCATAAGTATATAAATCAGTACCCACAAAAATTAAAATCTAATCTAGAAGAAAAACTGATAGGTCTTCCAGCAGAAATGTTTTATATATTAATAGTCTTTTCTGGCTTCCATTTATGATATGTTTGGTAAAATCCAAATTATGGAAATAGTGCCCAAGTACTATTCATGGAATTGTTCCTCTTAAATTTTGATCAGTATATGTAGATAAAACAGACTAAGAAAAATCTGGTCACACAGGTCTTAAACTGTGAATAAGTTTATTTCTTCTTTCTCATGACATCCAGAAATTGAGGTTAAATATATAATAATACTTAACATTCACCACTTGCTATGTATAAACTCATTTAATCTTTACTATTACAAGTAAGAAACAAGGAGGTGCTATTATCATTGCCATTTTACAGATGAAGAAAATGAGTCAGAGAGGTTGGGAAATTTGTCCAAGGTCACATAATATTTTAGTAAATGAGGGTTCAGGCTCAAACAGGCTGAGGCCAGGCCTCAAGCCTGTAACTACCCTTTAGGTAATTTCCAAGTCAAATTCTCTGTTTAAAAATATTTCCCGAGGCTGGGTACTGTGACTCAATCTGTAATCCCAGCACTTTGGGAGGCCAAGGTGGGCTGATAGCCTGAGCGGAGAAGTTCAAGACCAGCCTGGACAACATGATGAAACTTTGTCTCTACAAAAATAAAAAAATTAGCTGGACATAAAGGCCAGATATGGTGGCTCACGCCTGTAATCCCAGCATTTTGGGAGGCTGCGGCAGGCATATCACTTGAGGTCAGGAGTTCGAGACCAGCATGGCCAGTGTGGTGAAACCTCATCTCTACTAAAAATTAGCTGGGCGTGGTACCAGGCGCCTGTAACCCCAGGTACTAAGGAGGCTGAAGCAAGAGAATCACTTAAACCAAGGAGGCAGAGGTTGCAGTGAGCCAAGATCACAACCACTGCATTACAGCCTGGATGACACAGCGAGACTCCATCTCAAAAAAAAAAAAAAAAAAAAAAAAAAAAAAAAAAATTGGCCTGTGTGGTGACCCATGCTGCATGTGAGGCTAAGGTAGGAGGATGGCTTAAGCCCAGGAGGTCAAGGCTGCAGGGAGCCATGATCACACTGCACTCTAGCCTGGTGACAGATTAAGACCCTGTCTCAAGCCAAAAACCAAAAATAAATAAAAAACAATATTTTCCATCCGGGCACACTAGCTCATATCTGTAATTCCAGCATTTTGGGAGGCAAAGCAGGAGGATCCTGTGAGGCCGGGAGTTAGAGATCAGCCTGTACAACATGGTGGTGAGACTCCATCTCTATTTAAAAAAAAAATTTTTTTTCACCATTAGCTCAATGCAGCAGGGTTTTTTTGTTTGTTTTTCTCTTCTGGAAAAGGGCTTGAGAAAATTACAAAATGGCTTTCTATTTTTTTTAAGATAGGGTCTCTCTTCAGCACAGTCTTAGCTCACTACAATCTCTGCCTCCTGGATTCAAGCTAGTCTCCTGCCTCAGCCTCCTGAGTAGCCACACCCAGCTAATTTTTGTATTTTTAGTAGAGATGGGGGTTTCGCCATGTTGGCCAGGCTGATCTCGAACTCCTGACCTCAGGTGATCAGCCCGCCTCAGCCTCCCAAAGTGCTGGGATTATAGTGAGCCACTGTGTCAGGCCTAAATTGGCTTTTTAAAATTAACTTTTTATTATGGAAAATCCTTAAGTTTGTGACTCTAAAAGATGAGGACTTTAAAAATGCAATGCTATCACCACACTTTAAAAAATGAACATTAGGGGTCAGGTGCTGTGGCTCACTCTTGTAATCCCAGCACTTTGGGAGGCCAAGGTGGGTGGATCACCTGAGGTCAGGAGTTAAAGACCAGCCTGGCCAACATGGTGAAACCCCATCTCTACTAAAAATACAACAATTAGTAAGAACATTAATGCTTTTTTTTTTTTTGAGACAGAGTCTCACCCTGTCACCCAGACTGTATTGCAGTGACATGATCACAGCTCACTGCAACCTCCACCTCGCCAGGCTCAGGTGAACCTCCCACTCCAGCCTCCCAAGTAGCTTGGGACTACAGTGCACCACCATGCCCTGCTAATTTTTGTATTTTTTGTAGAGACAGGGTTTTGCCATGTTGCCCAAGCTGATCTTGAACTCCTGGGTTCAAGCAGTCCTTCCACCTTGGCCTCCAAAGTGCTGGGATTACAGGTGTGAGCCATTGTGCCTGGCAAACATTAATTTTTAGTATCATTTAACGTCTAGTTAGTGTTGAGATTTCCCCAATCTCCTAATTTTTTTTTCTTTTTTTATTACTGGTCCCAATCTCCTAATTTTTTAAGGCAATTTGTTCTCAAATTAGGATTCCAGTAAGTTTTATTCCCTGCAGTTGATGAATACACCTCTTACATCTCTTCTTGTCCTCATGTTCCCCCTCATTTTTTTCTTCTCACTCTGTTTTTTCAGAGAATCCAGGTCATTTGTCTTGCAGAGTTTCCCAGGCTAGATTTTGCAGATTGCCTAGGTAGAGTTCACACATTCTACTTTTCTTGGTATTTCCTGTGAATTGGTAGTTAGATCTGGCAGCTAAAATCATTTCTGGGGGTTTGGGGGCACATATCCTTCACAGGGGTTATTCTGTCCCGTGACAAGTTGCATCGTGTTGGTTCTCTATTTTTGTGTCATTTACATCCCATGGCGATATTGTCCAAATTAAGTGAATGATTACTTCCCCTGCATATTTGTTTGGTTCCCATGATGTATAGTTGGAATAGGAAAGGCAGAAAAATACTTGATTCTTTCCACTTATTTACCATTTTTCAAAATAATGAGGTTGTTCTGTAGCCTCCTGCTGAGGTGACTGAGGTTTCCTTTTTTAGACTTTAAAGTATTTGTTTCCATTGAAGTTATTTGTCTTGGTACTGAAATGTTCCCGTCTTTGTCCAGTTGGGAGCTTATCAAGTTGGTGCCTTTTGATGTGACCCCAGTAGTCTCCGACAGATTTCTTGCTTCGGCTATAAAAAAGATGTTCCTGGCTACTCTTGTGTATTTCTTTTTATTTAGTTGTTTTGTTTTGTTTGAGACACAGTCTTGCTCTGTGGTCCAGGCTGGAGTGCAGTGGCACGATCTCTGCTCACCGCAACCTCTGCCCCCAGGATTCAAGCAGCTCTCCTGCCTCATTCTCCTTAGTAGCTGGGACTGCAGGTGTGCACCACCATGACTGATTACTTTCTGTATTTTTAGTAGAGATAAGGTTTCACCATGTTGGCCAGGCTGGTCTCAAACTCCTGACCTCGAGTGATCAGCCTGCCTTGGCCTCCCAAAATGCTGGGATTACAGGCATGAGCCACTATGCCCAGCCCCTCTTGTGTATGTCTTGTTCCATACTTAGAATTAACTAACTTTCCAAGGAACCTTAGGTTGAAGTGGTATTTACTTGTGGTGTTTACAATGTGGGTGTTGTCATTGGCCTCTGAGTAATCTTTTCCTGCTGTTGATAACTCAGGTAGATATTTTCTTTTCTCCCAGGAGTCCATGAAGAATATCAGCTGCCATATTACGACTTAGTGCCCTCTGACCCTTCCATTGAGGAAATGCGAAAGGTCGTATGTGATCAGAAGCTGCGTCCCAACATCCCCAACTGGTGGCAGAGTTATGAGGTAGGAAACCTGCCTCTTGCAGCTTTCCCATCAGCCTGATTTCTTCACCTTAGGAAAGGGTTTCTTGACAATGGGGTCAGCCCCCAGAGGTGCCCCCTGAGAGTGTCAGTTATTATTTACTCTTAGATGCTATTATACATATACCAAGCCCTTTAGAGCTGCAGTCTCTTGTCCTGGACACTGTTGGGTGCCATTTGGAGTTGACAGCCTAGTAGAAGAAAAGCCTTTGGGCCAGGTGTGATGGCCTAGGCCTATAATCCTAGCACTTTGAGAGGCCGAGGCAGGAAGATGGCTTGAGTTCAGGAGTTCACGACAAACCTGAGCAATGTAGGGATACCCCATCTCTACAAGAAATAAAAAATTAGCAGGCTTGGTGTTGCACCACCTGTAGTCCCAAGTACTCGAGAGGCCGAGGTGGGAGGATTGCTTGAGCTCAGGACGTCAAGGCTGCAGTGTGCCATGACTGGGCCACTGCACTCCAGCCTGGGCAACAGAGCAAGACCCTATCTCATAAAAGAAAAAGGAAAAGGCTTTGTCCCCAAGACACAGATGAGGGAGGTGGTCAACAAGCAACAAAAACAACCCAGAGCTGTTAAACACCAAACTAGGAAAGCGCCTCTGGAGCCGGAGCTGAGCTCCACGGAAGAGCGATGAGGTGTCCATAAGAGAAGGCCTGAGACCAGGCAGAGGAGGAGGTGGACAGGCCTGTGAGGAAAGTGGTCTTTCCAGAAGCTCAGAAGGGAGGTGGTGATGCGTATATGACAGGGTTGGGATTGGGGTGGAGAATGTGAATTTGGGAGTGATGGCAGATGAAATCAGGGGTGTGGGGGAACAACGTTTGGTGGAAATGATTGATAAGAGGACATGTTTGTGACATACATCCTAATAAACATGGACTTTAGGTCTTAAGAGTCTTCAGGGAACAGGATTTGCCTTGCTAAGTGCTCATGGGCCTCCTTTTCACTCATGGGTCTGCCTTTCCTTTTACTTATTTTTTCTTAACCTGATTGAGGTGTGATTGACAAATGAAATTGTGACAAAGGTGTACAAGGTGCTGATTTGATACGTGTGTGTATTGTGGCATGATTACCACACTCAATGAGCACATCTGTACCCTCACCTCGTTGCCTGTGTGTATAGCAAGAGCTGT